GAATCATTGTAATGTGTGAAAAGCAGAAAATTCCAAGAAAATTCTCAGAAACGGAAGTTATGGTACACATTTTGGAAATCACGATCGCGCTAAAAAGTGGGCGTGATCGCAGAGGGCGGGGCATGAGATGGCATCCAATAGGGTCAAAGATGGTTGAAATAGCAGTCCCTACACGATTGACTTATCATTTTGCGAAATTTGACATAGCGGCAAAAAAGTGGTCCACGAGGGACAATATGAGCCACCGGTGGCTCAGGGCGGACGCATGCGAAAGCACGCCATTGTCCCACGCGGCGCTTTCCCGCAAAACGCGATTGTCGTCAACGTGTTAATGACCATGGCAGTATGACCTACTCTGAAAGTCTTCCAATATTTTGATTCAGGCAACATCTTCCTTTGCACTGGCAAAAACTAATGACGGACGAGGACTCACCAATTATTGATTTGTATCCAGTAGACTTCCGTATCGATCTTAATGGAAAGAAGTTTGCTTGGCAAGGTGTTGCACTATTGCCTTTTGTTGATGAAGACCGCCTGCTCAAAACACTGGAAACAGTACGTTCTCTTTGAAGTTTTGCTCAGAGTCTTTTACTTTCTCTTTTTCTTCCTGCTTACCAGAGATCCCTTTGTGCCTTCCGCATCCACTACTTTTGGTGTAGCTCTCGAAAAAATGACTAAAGCAAAGAAGTCTGGGGGTGATACGCGGCGGATTTATACCACTTCATTTCTCGTCTTATGTGTCACCTGTTTTCAAAACCTTAGTTTAGCTTTGTACGGTATTTTTATGAGCGTGACATAGTCGCCCACCGCGTGGCACCCCCAACTTCATTTGGACCCCTTACCTGCGTCGTTCAGGTGCAACACACATTGACCGAGGAAGAGAAAGCTCGTAATACTACCGGTCCTGATCGAATATTTATCGGTAGAAATCACCCGGCTTTCGACTTCTTCAAGGAACTTTACTCTAACAACAACGGAGGTCAGTCATTATCAGTGAACTTACAAGTTTTGTAGTGTTCCTTGTAGTGTAAGTGTGATGCGTGTCGTAACTGCGTGCTCCTTATCTACAAAGTGAATTGTAGGTGAAAACTCTGTCGACATTGATCCTGCATTTACATATGGTATAAGTGGGAGGATAACTGCCGACAAAACGGCTCTTGCTCCGGATTTGCCGTTTCCCTCTCCCGTCAATGACAAATCATGTCCCGATTTGCCGGTAAGTTCCAGAGCATATTCTTGGTTAAACATTCCATAAAGTAAATAATTGAAATTTGTACCCTAATTTCTTTACGCTACTCAGCATGCTTTAATGGCAACGTTGGAAGTGTTAAATGTTGTGCTAAATTCAGATCCTTTTACAGGTGAACGGAGCATTGATGGTTATTTATCAGGATCCCCAGTATCCTAAAGGATTCATTTTTCCTGCAAGGCGATTGGAGAATGCGAAAGAAATACCTCGTACACTCCGAGATTACGGCAGGGTAAGTTTGAGCGTTTTAAGTTCGGTTTTCTAAGGACGCATTTCTTCGAGCGCCTTGTGAAAGTTAAAAAATGGTCAGCTGGAGTATGTTGAATTGGTGCGCCCGCATCCCTGACGTTATGCGTTACCCTCTGTGGATTTTATCTCGATTTTTCATCGTTTAGTCGGTGACCTTGAGTCCTAAGCATGACTGCAGAAGGAACGAAGCAAAGCTCCAGAATCCTAGTCACTCCCAGGGTTCAACTAGAAACGTGGTACATATCGTTAAGGTGTGGGACAAGAGTTTTGAGAGGTATAGCGTTACTTCGTAGTTGCGACTTCGTCGTGGTGGTGGTAGTAGTAGTAGTTATCTCTTATCCAGTTGAAGTAAAAGGTTGGAAGAGTCAATTGCCGCTTAGTACCCGGGAATGCTCGCGTTACCCTGCTTGCGATTCCTCTTTAGTCGCGTTCGTCGCAACTCAGTGCGATCCTAAAAGGGCCCTATTTCAGTGAATTCGCTCATTTTTATTCTTTTTTTGTTTTTTCTTCCATGCACTTGCGAACCCTTTCACTGCTGAATGAATTTGAGTTGTGCTTTGTCCTAACTGACTTGCTTCCAGACTGGCTCAGATTATCGTCCACAAATAGGGTTCACCAGAGACGTACCAGGTCGAGCAAGCCTTGATAATTCTGCCCATCGCTTCATTCAGCACAACGCCAGATCTGACAATCGCAGCTATGGTGAGATAGTAATCCTATCAGTAGAGCTATGGTTTTTAGACGGGCATTTGATAGGGTATGTAGAACAATAAAACTATGCTAAAATTATGTGAAAAACGGCTTAATATGGGCTAATGATCAGTGTCGTTGATATTAGTATAGAAAGAAATCCTGGCGGAGTCTGTGTCCACTCGAAATCACAGTATCCACAACTCGTATAATACTTCGACGCTACATCCGGACTGATCTTTAGTCTCTTCAAACCATCTCTGCGTCTTTTTACAATGAAAAATGTTGCTAAAACTTCAATGATCCAGCTCAACCAAACGTCTTTTGGCGAGCGTCAACTCTTGGGTAGCGGACTCAGTACTCTAGTGGAATAGAATTCGAAGTGGAGGGATGTTAGGTGTTTAAATGCTAGTAGTTTTTTTTTCAGAAGGCGATCGTAACAATGGCGGCGGTCCAGGAAGAGGATACGATGGCGGAAGAGGAGGCTATCAAGGTATGTAGTGCCTAGTTATTCTCATTACCAGTCCTGATAAACTAGACTTTGGAATTTGGTGCCAGGTGGTGGCTTCAATCGCGGTGGGTTACGGTGCAGGCCAGAATGGAGCGTACGCCAGTGGAGGATATCGTCGGTTACGGTGGCGCACAAGCAAGGGGTTATTCTAATTCTGGGTATGGTAACCAAGCGCCTCGAGGAGGATACAGGGGAGATCTCCCTAGAGGACGAGGTGGCGGATACTCCGGCCCGGGTGGGCAGCGTCCACCATGGCGTTAATTTTGGTGTCTGTTGTTATGACAATTACCGTTTTTGTTGGCATTTAGTCTACTTTCTACTTTGTATTGTAATTACATCATCCAGGATGACATAAGGACACATTCCTATTTAAACAATATGTGTACAGGAACCGTAAAGACCTCATTCATTTTGACTATCTCTTTCTCTGCTGCCCCAGCAGATTCTTTCAATAAACACCAAATGTGTACCGTTGCGTGTCGTTGTTGGTTGTTGAAACTTGTTGTTCTTATCCAATGAATAAGTAGAACAACTCAGCAACTGGTCATTAAATTCCTCACACTCATGATAACAGCTGTTTAAAGAAAATCTGTACATTCACTTTATAAGACGGTCCTTCACGGTCCTTTTCAAGTGTGAGCTGGAGAGTTACAAGGCAAATGTCAGTCGGATTGCTCTCGCTGTCAGGGTCTAGAGGGTTTTCTCATTGCGTCTCCTATTCGAGCGTTCAGATTAAGGAAAATGGAAAAAGGAGGGAGAGAAGGAAGGAAGAAAAACAAAGGAGGAAGACTGCTGCGGTTACAGAGATCCTGGGACCGGGGTGAAAAAAAAACGGTGGAGCACTCGCATGGTTAGGCGCTGTTTATCGACGGGGGGGGGGGCACTCTGCTTTTCATAGATTTGCCAACCCATCTGGGTACCCTTTTTTCGAGTTGACACGTTTTAGTGGTGGCTATACGATCTTGCTCCAGCTTCACAAGCGTTCACAAGTTTTACAGAGTGAAATTTGTAAACCGGAACCAGGGAAGCATCATAATACAAAATGCCTCCCACCCCGTCGATAAACAGCGCCGCATGTTACGCTAGCCGCTTCCTGCTCTCAAAGATGCACGGGAACTGTGCTGGAAAAAACTGATGCTCCGTGCCATCTCCATACGCCCCCGTGCTATCCTCAAGAAGCGGCGCTTGCGTCAATACCAAGGTTCAGCAGCGAAATACGCAATCAACCACAGAGACAACCAGAAATGATAGGGTGGATAATTAACGCGTTTGAATGTGGTCAGGCGGGTCCTCATGACTTCCCTGCGATGCCCTAACGTGTGGCTGTCCAAGCGGCAGCGCAGGGGGGGGGGTATTATGAAACGACACTCGGGTGTCACTGCCCTCCACCCCGTTCCCGTGCACTTTGAGGCGGAGAGTTGCGCTACGGCAGCTGTGAATTCATACATCTCATACATGGCAAGAATCAGGATCCACGGAAATGAGTATACAGGGGGGAGGGCAAAAAAAAGAACGGTTTTTTCTTCCTTGAGCTTTTCGACGGCGCTATAAGTTACACTTATCGGAAGTTTCTTATCGACACTTCCACTACTATATGCATAAGAGCATTAATATAGCTATCACGGTAACTGCTCGCGGCCACAGCCTTCTGAGGAGCGCCATCTAGAGATTTCTGGCACCGAGCGCGCGATGTGGTGCATGAGAGGTCAGCGAGATAGTCGATTTCTCCGCTACCGTAGACCACCCTATCGAACTTCGCCCGAACCGGGTGATTGAAGGAGTTTAAGTCAGTTGACTTGCTTAGATATTCCACCTTCTTCAGCTACTCAGCGCCTTTCCATTCCAAGTAGACAAGAGTTTTCCGCAGACGCACCATTTGATCCTATGTGTTGTCCACTCGCAAATCCTGTTAGGCAGTAAAGAAAGCTTTCAAGAAGGTAACGGGCAGAGCGACATGTTCTAGAGGGATTCTTCTTGTAGTTGTCTGCGATGTTACCGCAGCAGCTTCCCTCCAGTCCTGAGCGCCCACGAAGAAAATATAGCTCTTCACTCCAGGTACTTCCGTTCCCCACCATCAACTGGTGCCTTGGCGACTGAGGTGAACATGATATCCTGAACCGTAGCGACGTTGTCGGAGTTGCTCGATGTTGGAGGTCTTCCAGATCGAGAGTACTACCCTCCAGGTTATCCATGGGTGACTCCATTCAAAAAGTTTCGCAGCTGTTTGGAGGTGATGTGAACTCCATAGGCCTTCTCCAGTCAGGCTGCGACTGGAGATGACTTCATATTTTAGCGTACATTAAGGTGATGGGCGAGCACCAGCTCCTGCTTATAGAGGAACATCTTGGGTATCTTCCGCCCTAATACTCGTATCCACGTCCTCTGTCTGGGCTGCGAAAACTTTGCTGATATGTGACTCGGTCGAAATGTCTTTTTTTTGCCCCCCGCCCCCTCCTCCCCGCCCCCCTAGATGTCTTTTAACGCGCAGCGTTGAACTGTTTGTCAGCAGGAGTTCAGATTTATAGGCGAAACCCTTCACCCTCATGCAGATCAAGCTGGCGCCGCGCTTCCCTTACCTCACCAGTTAACTCCTTCGACTGCAGGTAATTATACTATAGCAAATCGGGGCGCGAAGATACAGTGAATCTGACAAGAGCCTTACAAGTTGGCTCTTAAAGCTGGGCATGCCATCGTTGTAATAATCATAAGGGGCGTCGTGTTTGACCGGGAAGGGGGGTCGTACTTGGTCCGAGAAAAACAATTTTTTTTGATAGTTGGCTTCCCCCCCCCTGCCCTCCTATCCCCCAGTTGGCGGCACTGCCAAAGATCTATACAACTATATTTCCGATAGTTGTAAAAGTAGTTGGTTCCTGACGACCTCAACCCCCTTCCCTCTGCTCGACAGCAAACTTCTGGATAAAAAGTGGTGGGAAGTTGGGAAAATCTAGGAAAGTGGTAGGTGGGATTGGGAGGTGGGGGGGGGGTGTATTTGAGGATGGAATTAGGGGGTCGCATTTTTCAGGAGAATTTATCACAACGCGATGGTGTGCCTTGCCTTCAGGACACGATGAGCTCTCCGGAAGCGATTTCTTGCGTGATGTGGGGATCCATTTATGGACTTCACAGATGAGTTTCATTTTTTGCCTGAACGGCTGCTGGAGAATGCAAAAAAAAAAATTTGAAAAAAAAATCTACAAAAAAGAGCTGTTTTAAACACCTTATGAAGTTCCGCTCTAGTTGCAGCGCTGAGTATGAATAGATTTTGGGGAGTTTTCCAACCAGGCATGGAAAACAATACAGAAATAAGGGCCGAAGGTCACAATTCTCACTTGGCATAGCAAAGGTACGGTGAAGTTTCTTCGTGTTTCCGGCATGTTTCTCTTAACTCCCGCATCTACTCTATCTCAGTGAGGGAAGGTGTGGTGGGTAGCGCGATGGACTCTCACCCAGAGGTAGTTTGTGGACCAGATCTATTAAGTGATGGCACCTTTTTGTAGTTCTAAGAATATCAGCCTCTCCTCTGTGGGCTCCTGATGTCCTTGATAATGCTCGGGCCTAATGCCGCTTGGACTAACAGATTTCGCTCGAGCTCCTTTTCAAAGTGGCAAGAGTCCCCAAATCAAGCAAAAGTATATAGGGGTAATTCACATCCTGATCACGAATATGACATTCATTTTTGGCGCTGACGCTAATGGATGACACAATGGTTACCTCCGCTCTGCTAAGGCTAAGCCCAGAAGGTAATTGTAGTGTCCTCTCTTAGAGCCAGCGCCAAGAATGAGTGTCATACTCGTAATCAGGGTGTTGAATTATCCCTATATACAAGTTTTTAGTGGAGGTGGCTTAGGCAATTTGAAAGTGAGCTCGGAGCCGATTCTGGAGTCCAAACGGCATTA